CATATTTCTATGTACATATCTTCTATTTTAATAGCAGATCTCAATTGTTTTAGCCTTATTTTTCTAAAGCTATAAAACTAAGTAATGTTGTGAACCAATAACAAATGATGGGACTCTTTTATACTCTAAGTGGTTAATAAGTTGTATTGGAGGATGTATTTTTACCAGGATCTCTGTGAACTCTGCATAAATTATTTCTGGAAGTGTTCCTCTTGGGTTTTTTTACATTGGCTAGAATGATAACAATGTACCTAACAGCAACACTGAGAATGTTTACACCATGATGAATTTATGAACTATTCTTAGATATTCACTCATTGAAACCTGTTTAAGTCTAATTGTTTTTTCATCTTCATGTTGAAGACATACACACAAGCTTTTAACCTATGACTGACCTGAGATTAAAGGTGTCTTTTTTTCTTTTCTTTTTTAATTGTTATTTCCAGTTCTGCTTTTTATATCCTGTGTCCTCAAATATGAATACATATTTAATCAAGTGAAATTTACTGTGTAATAATTTATATTGAATTTATCTTTTACTATTTGCTCTTATAAAATTATTTAAATTATGTCTCTTTAATTATAAAAGTGGATGTCCACACAGATATAAAATATGTGAAAAAATAGATGTTATAAAAAACATGATTTATCATGCTAAAATGATTTCTTCTTTGGACACATTGTTTTAAAGAGAATTAAGCAACATGAAACAAACTATTATCAACAATAATTTCCCAAACCATGTTGTTGATGAAAAAATAAGATTAGCTTTAAAGAAATTTAGAAAAAAATAATATAAGCAACCAACTTGATATAAACAAAATTAAAGACTCCATTGAATGCATCCAAGTAAATGCATCCAAATTAAAAACAAGTTGGAAAAGCTATTAAAATTATAATCTACCAATATATAAAAGTTATTGATCCTAACAAATATCTTAAATTTATCATCTATTATAAAAATTTCAAAATGTCTAATTCTCATCACCTGAAAAATCTACTCTATGTAAAAATAATGTCATTTATAAATTATGTTAGTATTGGAGATTGTATCTCCAATACTAACAATCAACAAATATTAAATTCTTACTTTGGTCACACATGCACTACACTCTCTCATAGGCTAACTTGTCATTTATCAGAATTTAGTGCAATTGATGCATATATAGATGAACATATGATAAATAAGCAAAATAATATTAACATAAGAAAAAATTGAACAGATAATACCACAGTTTTATATAGGACTCAGTGCAAAGAAGAAACCTCCAAATTCTGGAGGCTGTTGTAATAAAAGAGAATCAGCCAAGATTAATATGAAAATGTTATCAATATATCTGGTATATATTGAAATTGGTTCCATCAAACATGATATCAGGAGTCATATGTGGTCAGGCACATACTCTTGGAATGTTGCAGCTTCTAGAAAATCTGAAACAAGTATTACAGAATGAACAATCTTAGAGAACTTTTTGAAAATATTAAACCAGAAAACATACTGCAATTTGTCTAAAAGATTGGACTTTACAATAAAATATAAAAAGAAATAATAATGTCTATAACTGTTTAAACAAACAAAAAACTTACCTTCAATCATTCTTGACAAACAATAAAACTTGTTTTCCACCATACCTAATGAACAAGAAAACTTCTTTTCTACCATACTTGGGAAAAATCTTTCAACTATACCTAACAAACAATAAAATTTTCTTTCAATCATATCTGAAAGACTATAGAACTTACTCTCATCCATACTTGACCAACTATAAACTATGTTTACAACACAATCAATTTGGCTCTGAATGACCCACAAGAGGTTCAGGGGCCATAAAACACAATCACTCAATCCATCAAACATGAGAATGTGGGAATTAAAACAAATGTAGCAACATTCGAAAATACTCAAAAATAAACAATATAAAATAAAAATATATATAAATCTTGAAAATTGGGACCAAATTTAATGATCTACTAAGCTTTGTTTAATCTGACACTATTTACATTGTTCAGACTATTGTCTTCATCTTTGTTGCCATATTCATGACATTTTTGCAATTGTATGTGCTGGCCTTCTTCAGGTGATTGGAATTTCGAACTAAACCCTTTATTTCATCCACCGGGGTAGATTGTTCTAGTTCCAAGTGCTATGCCTCTTCCAGATATCTCGGTATTAGATATTTCCCTTTTAACTCAATCTTCAAGTTTTTGTTCATCTCAAGGACACATGGCTCCATGGATAAAAGCATTGGTTGGATCCAAAAAGTTGTAAGTTCAAGTTTTTGTTCACCCCTCCAATAGCAGGAGTGAACAAAAACTTGGAGAGTTAAAGAGAATTAACTGAGACATCCAGAAGAGGCATAGCACGTGGAACTAGAACAGTCTATTCCGGTGGACAAAATAAAGAGTTCAGTTTGAAATTCCAATCACCTGAAGAAGACCTGTGCATACAATGACCGAAACATTGTGAATATGGCAACAGAGCTGAGGACAACGGTCCGAACCACGTAAATAGTGTAAATAATTACAATACCTCATTTCAGAAATATAGACAGAAGCTTTGTTTAGTCTAACACTAACTATAATGGTCAAGCATCTAGTGAATCTTGAGTTCATTGTGAGATTCATCATTATTCTCTATAGATGGCAATCTGAAATTATGGATATTTTATAGGATTTTATCATTTTTTTTTGCATTAGATTTGTAAATATAAAAACTGCCAAAAAAGAAAAGACTCTTCCATTAATAATTTTCCCTATAAATTTTATCAAGTTTACTAAGTCAGGTAACACATTTCATCCCTTTTTTGTATTAACAGGTGCCAGTTTGGGACAAGCTATTTTGTTAATGAATGTGAACTAAGTATGACTATTCTTTCTATATATTGTAAGAATTTGTAGTGAAAATGAGAATAAATTTTTACCTAAATTCCTATTTTTTTATACTATGTTAATTTTAAGATTTGCTCAAGTCATTGAATTAAGCTTTTAAGTATTTGACAAATTATTAAAATGTATACATGTACATTTTTTCTTCAATTATTCAGTTACAGTTTGTAATGATGCACTACTTGATCAAATTATTTAAAACAGTCTCCATTTTTGACATAGAGAATTAATATCAGATGAGGATATTGAGAAGGGATAATATCTTAATAAATGGATATTAAGAATAACTTGATATAAATGCAAATCATGCCTGTTGGATGACATGGTCTGTGAGGTTCTAACACCATTTTAGTAAAATCAGTTATAGAAACAAATCTTTTAGCAAAGAAAAACCCTTCTTTTTTTTAATATTTAAAAATAAAAACTTATACTCCTGTAAATTTTAGTTACTATAACTTTGTGTAAGCTACAAAAGCATGCTAAAAACACTACTTTTCCTAGCAAAAAAGGCTAAATTTCAACCACTTTTCAATTGTGTTCAGGAGTTTTCAGACACTAATTTTCATTCTATGCCCCCATCAACTAAAAAGGACTGACCCAGTTTTTTTCAAAGTACAAACAAGATGACTTCAGGCAGAATGACTAAAGCAGTCCATCAGTATAAAAGAAACAGTTTTCTATATCTTTATTCTTTTATTCCTTTGTTTTCTTTTTTTATTGTTCTTGAGGTAATTATTCAATCTGTTCACAGATTATCTAAATTTTCAAAAATAAGATCAAGACTGATTAGTTTCAACATACTGGCATATTTGTAAGCAGAATTTCAGGTAGAATAATAGGTAAATGTTTAAAAATATAATGTACATTAAAAGGAAGTATATTATCAATGTTAACTGATTTGGGAGATATTTAATATTATAAGATTCTTACTAGTCTGTCTTGTTTGAAATAAGAGCATATGTGGCCAGGAAAAATATTCTTATCTACTCTATACTTAAATATCACAAAAATATTAAATGTAAAAAATAAATCCCACTTTTTAAAATAAATAAATATATATATTTATTAATGTTACTGAAATTTCATTGCTTACATTCATTCTTCAGAGGATAGAATTTACATATATTTGCTTAACTATTAGTCCATTCAAATTTGTATTATATCATTTCTGTTGGATTTTTGAGATGAACAATTATCATTATTATATGCTTTATTATTCAAACTAGCATGCTCATCTTTGTTGTTATACTCACAACGTTTTGACTATTGTGTCCTCTGGTCTTCTTTAGGTGTTTATTATCATACACAGTAACCTTCTCAGAATTTTGAACCAAACTCTAGGTAATTGTTCTCATTCTGTTTTCTATGCTTAGGAGATATTTCATATCTCTGAATACTTAACAGTTGTTTCACTTGTTCATTTCTTCTACTGAACCAGAGTATATGACTTTTCAGGGATTGAACTTACAACTGTCAGGAAACAAATTTTAACAAATGCTTTAATCTTGTCAGTTATTTATCTCTTATAAATTCTTCAGTATAAAAAAATATTTGAAATTTAAAAAGCCTTTAATGAAAATGATTTATTTTGAGCTAGAGAAGATTTTATATATGGTTTTGATGTTTCTGCAATAAATTTGGATTGTTCTTGCCTGAATTTTGTTGTTTGAGATGTTTTAATAATTCTATATGATTGATTTGGACTAATTTCCTTGTCTTTTTTTTTTTTATTTGTTGTGTTCACAAATGTGTGTTTTCTTGGAATTGACTTTTGTAATGAACTTGTGATCATCCAGTAAGCTAGCTACATTTCTGAATAATAATCTAGGTGCTTGCTTCATAATTGTTTACTATAATTGAAAATCTCTTTTTAGTCATACTTCCACATTTATTGTCAAAAAAAAATTTCTTTTGACAGTAATGTCAGCATTGATTACTATCCTTTCTGCCTTTGTATTTTTGGTAAGGTTATATTCCTTGTGATTTATTTTTGCAATGTAATTCATTTGTCAGTATAATAAATTCCATGATCTGGTCAAAGGAAATTACTCTTTAATAGAAAGAGTTATCTCTCCTTTTACATTTGTTTATATGTCTATATCTTCTATTTGCAGGTACCATTGGTTACAATCAAAGGAATCGGATTGACACATTACTCTATTTGCTTTGTTATCCACAAGCTCCATTAGTTAAATCTAAGGTAAATCTTTCTGAATTATTTGAGGTTTTTCTTTTGAAAAATAAGATAGATATAAATGATTCTTTTTTTTTTTGTTTTCATTTTGGGATGCAAAAACAAAATTGCTGATTTGCTTAAAGCAATATTTTTCTGGAGTAAGTTTGACATAACTGATTGATATGCAAGGAGTGAGGTACTGAAAAATTTTCATCCCTACTCACTTGCAAAAATTGACTAAATGACTAAGCATCAGGATTTATTTTGGAATCCCTTCTTGGTTTGGTTGAGAACTTTTCAGTAATTCTTTATATGCTTAATCTATACTGAAAAATTGTTTTCTCTAATTTTAAGAAAAACCTGGAATATTTAAGACAATATCTTGAATTGATATTTTTAAGAGTATTTTAATTTATTTTAATTTAGGTGAAAATCTGAAGCCTTAGATTTAAATTATTTAGAATATGTAATTTTTATCATTTTGTGTTTGTAAAAGTGACAAATGTCTAGGGAAGTTTCTCATCACATTTTTTATTATTTTTATTTGCTTTGATAAGTGCTGTAAACACTTTTCTTTTGTGAGTATGTCTTGAAATCTGTAAAATTTGATATATAATGAAAGACAAAACTGTTAAAAATTAAACATATTTAGCATTATCAATTATTAGTATACTTCAATTGTATCTTGGTATTTTGCAAACTGAAACATTGTCAACTTAAAAACATCCATTTTGCATAAATACTGCTTTGTTCCTTTTTGTAACTGTGCTTGTCATTGAATCCTATATATCTTATTTTATTTTATGACTAAAAGCAGAGTCAATTATATAGTCTTGGTCCTTGTTAAAAGCATTCTTTTCTTTGCCCATCTCATGTCTGAATATCTATGAAAGATGCATTCTTCCTTTTCATATTCATTGTAGAATATATTTGTCACTGCTCAGTTACTAGCCATATCCAGAGAATATTATGAATAGAATTTCTCCTTCTTTTATGTTGCTTTTTTTGCTGTAACAAAAGAAACAGTATACCTTTTGTTACCTATTCAAATAGAAATTTTATTGTGATTTTATGAATACTACTCAATATGGTTAAGGCTTGGAGAAAGTGAATTATTCAATATAGTTGTTTATGTATTTGGAATACATTTTAGTAAAGTCTTTTCAGAATGATTAAATAAAAATATGTTTTCATAATAGAATTGGTATTAACCAACCGATATTGGTAGGATTTTCAGAATATACTTAAATGGCCAATATATCATTAATTTAGTATCTATCCTTGTTAAAAAAAAATATATCAATAACTTGTTTTGGAAGTGTCAAGTTTTATTATACAAAGTGCAATATACATTATTATTTATAAATAAATCCCAAACACATATGCCATAGAACCATATATTTGATTAATACAATATCCTATATATGTTTTTATTTTATATGTTAATCTGGATTCCTTGACATTTAATAAACTTCATAAATCATTGATTTTCTTAAATTTATTACTATTTTAACATAACTTTCACCAGTTTTTATTGCTCCCTACAGATGATATGAATATTATTTTCCATTCTTATATACATCTCTTCTAATGATGGTCCAGAAGTCTTCTATTGGATTAATATATGGAGAGGTTGGGTGGTAGTTCCATTAATTATTAGTTGGAACTAAAGTTGGTAAAGTAAGTGGCTTTTGAGCACATGATTTAATTTCTTTATAAGAAAGTTATATTTCAATGCATCTTCCTATACATTTTATATTAGGTATGTCCATTAGGTCACGTAAAAAATCGGCATATCACGATTAAAAATGACTCATAAATCAACGAAAACAAAGTTTTGTTTATGTTATGTTTATGTTGTTATGAAGAGGAAAGACCAAAGTATATTTTAAATATTTTTTGAAATTTTTTACTCCTTTCTAGCACGTAGAAAATTTTGCTTAAAAATGTTTTTTTTTTACGACAGCGCGACAGTACTAAAAAAGGTTTGTTTTATTTTACTTTTCCCGGAAAAACACACGTTAATTAGGAAATTCTTGCAAAAATCAAATAATTGTTGGATTTTAATGAAATTTTCAGGACTTATTCAGAAATGAATGAAATCATTTTGAATTTTTTTTTTTCAAAAATCTTGTTAAAAAGAGATTTTTTTTTAAAACATGTTTCCACCCACTTACATATTTTCAAGAAATTTCAAAGAAATTAAATACGCACCCCGGGATTTTTTTTTTTATTAGTTATAAACAGGAATGTTTGTAGAAAAGTAAATCACCAGTTTTTTTTTTTTAAAACATTTAATTCTTTTTATAGAAAATCAAATTTGAATTGTAAAAAAAAAAAAATGTAAAAAAGTATGACATTTAATTAATTAGAAAAGCTTACACCTGTTTTTGTAGATACGTTATACTAAGGACATTATTTTGTGAAGAAATAAAATTTTTTCGATGAATAATGTATTTTTTAAAATTTTTCCACATTTTAAAAATTTTTCATTAACGTCTTAAATACTTCAAAAATCTTTTAAAATTCTTTATTTCTTTCAGCCAAATAATGCAATGATAACGTTAATGAAAATGTAAATTTACAAATCGAACTTTGAAAAGCACATAACAGTCGTTTACACAAAAATATTTTTAAAATAATTTTAAAAATAAATTTTTATTGAAAAACGTTCATAATTTCTATGTATGGAAATGTATACGCGACATAATCCTTAAAAAGGTCACGTGATTTGTGTCGTCTGGCAATAAGTTATTTCACTCCTCTGTCCAGTTCAGATACATCATCGTTAACGTGTTTGCAGAAATTAATAAAAAAGTTTAAAGAATTATCTAAATAATAAAAAAGTTTAAAGAATTATCTAAATAATTAAAAAAAAAGTTTAAAGAATTATCTAAATAATAATAAAAAAAAAGTTTAAAAAAATTATCTAAATAATTAAAAAAAAAAAAGTTTAAAGAATTATCTAAATAATAAAAAAAAAAGTTTAAAGAATTATCTAATTTTATTGCCATTATTATAGAGTTTTGTCCCTTTATTCTAATGAAACTAAAAGCGTTCACTCAGATTTCTAATAATTTTCATTGGGGCCATCCGTAGTAGCTGTCGTCACTCGTCACGTAGATCAAATATTGGATAAAAACACCAGTACCAATCGTTAATAATTGGTTGTACTACTTTTTTATGCTAGAAGTAAGTAATAATTCTTGTAAATCAGATTAATTTAACATTAAATTTTCTAATTTTACTAAAATAACGTGTCAGAAACTTTGTTAAATATTTTTAAAATCGATAAATTTGTGTTTGTTTACAAATTTCTTAAAATTAAGAAAATGGCGGGATTTTTAAGAAAATTTAAAATACTAAATTTGACATTCCAATGTATATAGTTTCTATCTGAAATACACCAGAATTGTTTACTTAATGGAAATAATAAATTTAATGATTAAACTTTCAATTAAAGCTAAAATGAAATCTTAAAGCATGTTTTTTCATTTTTTAAAATTTATTTTAAAGTTAGGTATCGAAAAAAAAGTGGAGGTCCCTATTTTATATAGATTGTGAATTTTTAGTTTTTATATTAAGGGAAAATGAGATACAGTTTCTTCATTTGATGGTTTTTATTTATTTCTGGAAAAGAAAAGCAAAAATATATCTGCTGTTTATAGAGATGGTGCCATAGCTGAGAGTAGTTTGTAAGTGATTCACTAGGTTCGGAAATTAAAATTTTTATCTAGAAGACCAAGAATGTTCTGGCAGACCTGTCGTCCTTGATAATAACCAAATTGAAATTCTGATTAAAAATTATCCAGGACACACAACAGGACATTACAGATATTCTCCACATTGTAAGATGTTTGAAAACAGTCAGATATTTGAATCAGTACAATGTTTGGGTGCCTGATAGGAAAATATTTAATGGGCTGCATTTGCATCTGCAGTTTTCTTCTCAAATGCAAACAAAACACATTTAAAAAAAACAAAACAATGGCAGACAATGAAAAATGAATTGTTTACAAGAATGTGAATCAAAAAGGTCTGGAGGAAAATTAAATGAGCCACCATTAATAACTCCAAAATCTAGTCAGCATCCAAATATGATGCTGTGTATCTGGTGGAATTAGAAGAGCACTGTGTATTATGATCTCTTTCTACAAAACCAGACAGTGAATTCAAACAAGTACTGTTCCCAAATGGATCGGTTAAAAGCAGCAATAACAAGTGTGTTTGGAATTAGATAATGTGTGTTGTTTTCCACAGGACAATCTCTGATCTCAAGTTTCTTTGCAGACCTGGGCTGCAATGTCCTATTACACCTTCTGTATTCACCTGATCTTGCACTTTTGGATCACTACTTATTTTCATTCCTATAAAATTCTCTTAATGTAGGTGCCTCAGAGATTGTGAAATGTAGTCAAACAAAATGGCACATATATGGTTGAATAAAATCGATCTATGTAAAAATATCAAAATATTGTTTTTAAAATTCACTTAAAAAATGCAACCTGCTTTTATTCTAGCACAATATATTTGAAAACTTTTTGTGAAGAAAAATTTTTGCACGTCATCCATATTATTCAAAAAAAGTCTCTTGTCAAATAATTTTCTGCATTTGTTGATTCTGTCATCTTTGAAAGAAACTATAATATTAGACCAAAATATTAATCCACCTTCCCTTTGTTACTTTTTATGTTGTGTTGGTTGATGAAGAGCACAACTTCTAGCCAAACAATCAAGTCCATCCAATGCGACTAAGAGTTATTGTTGGGAAGTCAGTTTTTATGTACTTTTTTTTTTTTTACTTTGCCCAGCTTATATATTTCTTCGTGTGATGTTTGCATAAACGTGGTAGTTCAGTTACTTTCATGTCTTTTAACCAATGTTCTTAATATTCTGCATTTTACATTTGTTGTTTACATTTGCGACACTAGCTTCTGCAAGTATTTACTTGCCAGTCAATCAAGTTTTTCTTTTTATTATTCTTTCAACTTTTCTCAAATCTTCTTGTGACATTTTTAAAGCTGTTTGTTTCTTGTTCATATGCTGCCAATGTTTTCAACTTCTTTTTTGATAGTTCTTTGATCTCTCTTCAACTTTTTCACAATTCTCAACATGTTCACACACACACACACACACACACACACACACACACACACTTAAAATTACCAATGATATTAATTTTTTGATCCTCAACAGGAATAGATAGATTTGCCAATTGTCTGGTTCACACTGCTCCCCAGTCTTTTGAACCGGATTAGAGATTTATCCCTTCTTCCTTGTTTAGGATTGATTTTCTGGTTCCTTCTAAAGTTTTTTTTTTTTTTTTTTTTTTTTTTCATTTGCTTTCACTTCCAGTAGCTCCTTGCATCTTAGTGACATTATCACCTTCCTTGGAGTGAATTGTTTAAAAAACAGCAGCAAAAAAAAAGCTATTAGATATATTCAATTACAATATGATGAAAATCTCTTGATTGGCATAATGAAATATCATACTACTTTTGTTTGCATGGTCAAGTTCACAAGATAGGGTTAGTGCATGTTTGGTCGATGGAGATCACAGTTGTAGGTTGTCTTATCATTGGTAGGTCTGTTGTGTGGAACTGGGGTGACGTTGGATTGGTGTAGTTTAGGTAGAGCTGTTCTGTGGAGTGGATGTCACTGGAGTCAACTGCAAAAGGAATGCCTTGTAAATGAATCTAGGTAGGCCAAGATTACAGCGAGTTTTAGGAGGCCAGTTCTGTGGAACAGAGAATGTTGTGTCAATTGTGAAGGGGGTACCTTGTAAGTGAGTCAAGGTAGGCTAAGGTGACGGCTGGTTTTAGAAGGCCAGCTCTGTGGAATGGAGGTCATTGCATCAACTGCGAAGGGAGTGCCTTGTAAACAAGTTAAGGTATGTTGAAGTAGGCTGAGGCCATGGCGGATGTTGGTATTTATGAAGGCTTGTAGCTGGGAGGAATCTATGTAGAAATGTTGAATCAAAAACTAGATGGTCAAGGTGGTAGGTCAAGCAGAGGAAGTGGTAACAGTTGTTGAAATGTGGTGGCAGTGAAGGTGGTGATGGTAGTAGTACCTTGTGTGGTGGCAGTCCACAACTCTGTTGTCATAGTGGCAGTAGCAATGGCTTGTGTGATGGCCGGTAGCCGCACCAGCTGCAACTATCCTTGGTCTTCCTCAGAGCCTGCTTTTAAGCAGGTCTGGTAGTCCCAAGGGGTGTCTCTTTTACCACCAGGAACATTCGTGATTGGTCAACACCAGAGTTCACTTTGTAGATCAGATGTGTGGCATGGAGCCCAATGCGAAGAAAATGACTTTTGTTATTTTGTTTTCTGCTTTCGTATCAGCCAGCATGCAGAATGAATCAGAATGAGATCTAATTGGACAGAGTATAACACTACTAAATAAATTATGAAATTATAATGAATATTTCTAATGAAAACAGGTATAAGCTGAATTTATGTTGTATATTTATCCTACAAGTATATCCTGAAAATTGAATCAATATCAATTGCTTAATCCAAATATTGTGAAAACATTGGCTTCTTAATGAAATCTGACTTTGAGCATATGTTTTGTTCATTAAACATTTTTCAGTAATTTGTTTTTTATTTTCTTATTTTTAGACAATAGAGTTAATTAATTTTGACAAGATACCTGCAGGACAGAATGCTATTGTAGCTGTAATGAGCTACAGTGGGTATGATATTGAAGATGCTTTAGTTTTAAATAAGGCTTCTCTTGACAGAGGTAAGTGCATTTATCATCACTTGTGTGTGTGTGTTAATTTTCCATTGTTTTCTTTTAGATTAAGCACTTACTTAATATCCCTGTGTGACACTATTTAGCTATAGTAATTGATTAACTAATTAACCATAAAAATTAAACAAGAAAATACTGAGAATGGAAAAGAAGATCTCCGAGATTTTATTTTCACTTTAAAAAAAACAAAAAAGTTACTTTTTTCAAAAACCCGAGAATTGGCATAAACAGTGGACTCACAAAAAGGCCATATGCGAGCTTTTGACAATTGATTAATGATGTTTATAAAAGTACTGGTTAAAGAGAAACCGAGAACAAGATATCATTTGAAATCACAAGATTTTAGAAGTTGACCAGGTGATGAGGCCATATGTTGATTATAAAAATTTTGGCATGAGAAAATATTCCAAAATATTTGCTGATACGGGGTGGAGAGAATTACCATTTATTTATGAAGTCAAGGGTTTGTGTAGATGCTAAACTCCATGAAGGGGACAAAATGGCGGGCTTTCACAATTGATTGATAAGGTTGTAAAAATACTGGTTGAGAAAAACACAGAATAACCAAGCGTCAAGGATATGGTTTTAAGTGGCCATGTGTTGATTATAGAATTTTGGCATGAGAAAATATCTCGAAAGAATTGCCAATTTGAAGATAAAGAGATTTATTTTTCTTTTCCAAGAAGCCAAGGGTTCCTGCAGACCTTGGCAATTGATGTTGTTTGTAAAAGATTGGGTTAAGAGGACACAAAGTGGCCAGGAGCGTTGAAGGTATCAGAGATTTTTAAGAGACAGAGCCATGTGTTATTTGTAAGAATTTTGGTTGGTGAGAATGAGAATTTTGTAAACAAAAATTCTAGTTTATAATTTTAATGAGGCCTGCTTAGCCACACCCACACAGTCAGAATGCCATTGGTCAAATGGTAGGAATGGTGATAGGCGGAGGTAATTTGATGAGAAAGACGGGGAAATTATTAACACCCACTGAAAGGAATTGGTATGAGGTACCAATGTGAGGAGGGAATTTGGGAGGATAGCTATCCTGCAACTTCTCCTCACGACCAAAGGGATCCCTCCAAAAATGGAAAGTAATTAATTTTCCCAAAATGAGAAGTAATCAATTTTCCTAGTCAGACAACAAAGAGGTCCCTTTTCAGAAATTGGGATTTACTGAAAACCCCAGGCTGTGTCTAACCCTGCACCAGTTTTTGGTTGGTGTCCATATAAGCAAGTGTCCTCAAGCAGTTCGCCAGTAGTAGTTGTTGAGAAGTTTCAGTCCAGCAGTTTGAGTAGCAGGAACCAGAGCGTTGCCTTGCAGAAGCTGACCGAGAGATTCTATGACCTCCGACTTCACCTTTCCGACCAAAAGCAAGTTATACTGATGAACGAAGCTAAGCCAGCATTTAAAAACTAAACTAGTTGACTTAGAAGACTAGAACTTGCCTAGGAAGTATAAAAGTGTCACTCTCCAAAGAAACGGGTTGGGAGAAAAACATACACTCCTGTATATAACAGACAGATAAATGTTGATTCGTTCTTTCAACATACTTGAACATCTTGGGTTTTTATTTTGCTTCTTTTCTTTACGCTTGTGCGATATCAACTCTAGTTTAGATTCATCTTACACTATGGCCCAATGCCTGATTGATCTCGTCTACCCAAGATCAAAATCACAATGTGGGTAGGTTAGACTTGAGATCAAAGTAGTTACTTCGGTAACCAGACATTGGAAGTGAGCTGAGAACGACGGAGCCGGTCTCGAACTGGTTGCATCTGGTGTGAAGCCATTTGAAATCAAACAACCATCCCACTTGGTACCCTGACCAAAGGATCCCACTGGGCAGTGACAACCACCGATCGACTGGAACACATGTTGGTGGTAGTGACTAAGAGTCAACCCCAAAATGCTGGTAGGAGGAATATCACAGTTTCATGCCATGATTTGGAGTTCACCAATGGGCCGATGACTCTGTGTCACACCTGTTTTTAAAAATTCTCTTTTTGTTGATCCAAGTGATTTAGTTTCAAAAGTCTTAAATTAGTTACTATAATGTTAACTTGACTCTTTAAAAACAGTTAAATAAGACTCCTTGACAACGACACTCTTTTTAAAAGTAAGATGCAAATATTTTCCTCTTCAATCAGTTGCTTCATGATAGAATGATTTAATTCCTGTTGATGCACATTTTAATTTGTTTCTCCAATGATACTTTGCTACTTGGTACTAAGTACCAAGTTGATTTAATAAATTCTATGAATAACATTAGTTAAAGTCAGTAAATTATTTGATATGAGAAGCTACTTTCAAAATGGTTGTGTGCTTTGCTGACCACATCTTTATGCAGAAGCAAATGCCTGAAATAAAATCTTATAAGTGCAGGATATATTTGAAAGCATTACATTACATAAAGGAATTTTGGGTAAATAAATAAGTAAGAACATTTGTTTTTAATTATAATTACTAATGTTTATTCAGTTATAAATACTTTTTTTTTCTAAATATATTATGCTGTAAGTACATTACTAGATTAAATGGATTTTACCAGTCTAGGTTTGCCCACCCATAAAAAATTGTTTGCATTCTGAGGCTTCAAAGTTATTCAGATCTGGCCACAGCTAACTGTATAGTATTTGTTCAGGAATATACAGTTCATTCATGTGGCTGTTTTAAGTGAAAGCTAGCTTCATATAAAATGACTTAGATTGAGTTGACAATTTGAACAGATTTATTTCCATAGAGAAACTAATAGCCCGCAATAATAATAATAATAATAATAAAGTACTTTCTAAGCTACAACATTCTTTTTTCATTGTATGATGGTTAATATGTGTTGTCGGAAACCTACCACCCCTCTTGAAGATGAACTTGTCTGCGTCTGTGACTTTAAATAGTGGCATGTCAGTTGACATGGGGAAGACAGATAGACAGAGAAGTTCTTAGCTGAGCTAGTTATTGACTACTCAGGCGATTTCTGTACCTTTTTACCAACCTATTAAAACCCTTTTTATTGTTACGTGTTATTTGGCGTTTGTCTCTACTAACCCCAAATCAACATCATAACAGTGGCGACGAGAGATTCGCTCATCACGCTGAGTGGAGAATTTTTCAACTCTAAGTGGACTATATAAATTTTTTTTTTCTCGCTCTGAAAAAAACAAAAAAAAACAAAATACGTCGAACTTTGTTCTTCACGAAGAAAATGGGATTTCAACGTGCCAAAAAGAAGTAAGACTTGTGTTTATTGTGGATATATACGTGTTTTTCCCTTTTTGTCTGTTTTCGAAAAGTGTTTTGTGTAATCTATTACGCATAATAGAAGATTTGATTGCATTAACAAAAACTCTAGTGCAAAGTCAAATTCAGCAACAAGAGCAACAAAAATTGTTTCGGGAACAACTATTGGATTTACAAGTTCAGCAGCGAAATGACACAAAGGCTTTATATGAAGCGATTTTACTTAAGAATCCAGTAAATTCGTCATTCACGGCCAAAGGTGTTGCTAATTCTATTACTGAGTTCAAATTTAACCCAGAGGAGGGCATAACATTTCCTGCGTATTTTAGAAGATTTGAAACAATATTTGAAAAAAAATGTGAAGGTTGGACTGATGAACAAAAAGTGAGTTTACTTTTACAAAAGTTGGGTACAGATGAAAATAATAAGTATACGAATTTTGTCCTTCCAAGAAAAACTGGTGACATTTCTTTTGAAGAAACTGTTAATACTTTATCTAGTATTTTTGGCGAGCGAGTTAGTTTGTTTCATACTCGTTTCTCGTGTTTGAATATGGTAAAGCGTGATGATGAGGATGTTGTTACGTATGCTGGAAATGTTAACAGAATGTGTGAGCGTTTTATGTTACATGATCTTTCAATTGATTGATTTAAATGTTTGATATTCTTTCAAGGCTTGACTGCTATCAAAGATAAGGACATAAGGTCCCGAATATTGGTAAAACTCGAACAAAATTCCGAGATCACTTTGCAGGTTATGGAAGAGTGTCAAAGAATTGAAGACTTAAAACATGACAATACGCAAATTGAAGAAAAAGACGTATCCCGTGTCCATGCTATTCGACCAAAAACGGGAATAGTTAAGAAAAACATTAAAAAACCAACGTGCTTTGGATGTGGATGATGGTCATTTTAAAAGTGAATGTTTTTTTCACGACAAAAATTGCTATTCGTGTGGCAAGAAAGGCCATATAAGTACTCATTGTAAAAGCAAAAGAAAAAAAAATTAAGTCGAAAAAGATAATGTGAATATTGTGTTGTTAACGTCAGGAGAATGAGGAGGGCAGAAAAGAAAATTCGTACAGGTAAAAATTAATGAAAAAATGTTAAACTACAGCTAGATACTGGAAGTGATATTTCCATTATTAATACAGCAACATGGATTAAAATAGGCAGACCTTTTGCTTAAAAAAGACTGAAAAAAAAAGTGCTCATGGGATTTCTGGAAGAAAATTGCATTTTCAAGGTGAATTTTCTTGTAATATTTCATTTGTTGGTAAGACACTAAAGTCTAAAGTGTATGTACTACAAAATGCTTCAAATTTGTTTGGAACAGATTGGATTATACTTTTTAATTTATGGGAACTCCCTATAAATTCTTTTTGCAATAGAATTAATGTTTCTTCTCCATGTAAAAATCGGGTTACAGAAAATTTGGTGAAAGATCTGAAAATAAAATTTCCACAAGTGTTTTCAGAAGGTCTTGGATGTTGCAAAAAGACTAAGGCAAAATTTGAAATGAAGGAAAATGTAAAACCTATTTTCAAGCGAAAAAGAAATGTGCCATTTGGTGTTTTGGAACAGATTAACAAAGAATTGGAACAGCTTGAAAATTTAGGAGTTATTTCACGCATTGAATTTTCAGAGTGGGCCTGCCCTGTTGTATATGTTAAGAAAAAGAATAATAAAATTCGGATGTGTGCCGATTTCTCTATGGGTCTAAATGATTGCTTAAAAGACCACACATATCCTTT